AAATAAATTTACTAGGTATTTTAGTTGGTATTACAAATTTAATTGTAATAATTAAGAAATTAATTAATAATTTTTAAAGAAACATATTAAAATTGATATTATTACAAGTTACGTAAACAATTCTACTATTTCTACGGTAAATTCAGTTATTTTACAATCGAAAATTGTAATTTTTGCGTTGTCATAAAAATTTAGTTTTCTCGGTATACATACAGATTTTTTTTGTCACAGTAAATACTTTCATTTACAGCAAACAGGCATACTTTTTTTCAAAGTAGAAAGAGGAGACTGTGGTAAATATTTATTAAAAATTAAAAACACTCACTCCTAATTACCACAAAAATGCGTTTATAATGCCAACCTATGAAGTGGGCGAAACACGTGTCCGCTCAAATAAAACTATTTGTGGTAATTAGGGGTGAGTCTTCCTTTCAATTTTTAATTTTTAATACTTTTTTTAGTTAAGAAACTTTAAAAGACTTTTGTTCATGCATCTACCGCATTTACATTTTCGTGACGAATTCTAATTTGAGATGGTTAAAGTTTTAAACGAATTACCGTCAATCATTTTCCCATAATAATATATTTGCTTCGTACTGAGTAATAGAATAGCGAATGAATAGTTATTAAAAGGCGTCTCATAAAACGTTTATTAACTTGTTTCATCAGTAATAAAAAGTTTTGACGACTCATTTAACGTTCTGTGCTTATTACACCAAACAAACAAACTGGAATATGTCCAACAATAAACTTAATTGGTAAGAATGTTCAGTTTCAGCGTAAACCAATTGTAACAAATCCTTTTGTAATAGTTCCAATTTGACAAATTTTACGATTTTCAGTTACACTATAAAATATCTACTAAATGAAACACTTCTTGTTTTTATGGAAAATACATCAACGTGTTCGTTTCGAAAATATATTCAGAAACAGTAAGTCGACCCCCCAAAATACATTCTATTTCAATTTGTTAGAATTGTGACCTTGAAGAAATCTGCGCGAAGATAGAAAGAATACACACTAGCCGCGAGCAAGACAGAAATAGTTGCAATAAGCTTGAACGAGCAGAGCTATCGATGGGCGGTCTTAGGAGATCGGTTAGAACTGTACAATACTAGACGAAAATGTTTAGCAATTTCTTAAAACAAAAAAGCTTTATAGGTGTATAGAACGTTAAGTTAATTCACTTGTTATTATTTTTGGCTAAATATGCTTTTAAATAAAGCATATTCTTAAATTTTAACGAGGCAGTTTAAATAATTTTGCAAATGGTACTGTACACTTTTGTCTAGTTCTC